TCATTATTTTTTGCTATGTTTTAGATATTTTAGCCAAGAGAATAAATCATTAAATTTGGTCCTAGTCTATTTCATTTTGTGTTGAACTGGTAGTCTAGGAGTAGTATTTTAAATGAATGATCATGGTTCATCATCTCACTTCCAGAATTTACATTATTGAGTGTAGGAGAGGTACTGTTGATTCTAAGAGGTATGAAACTTTCTGTTATAAAGAAACACTATTTCAAAAAAAAAAAAAAAAAAAGAAAGAAAAAGAATCACTATTTCTCAAATGTCAGCCAATGCTTAAATGACTGAGGTTTCTGGCTTATATGTGTCTACCTCCAGTGTAGAATGTGCCATGTATGAGCATAGTGTGTATTATCTGTATATTGTTCACTCTAGAATACAATTCAGTATGTGTTAGGGTCTATTTAGGACTCTCTTCTAAGGAAGGTCTTCAGAAAAACTTGTTAAAAACTGGTCCCAGCATATAGAAGGACAGCAGTTTCATAAGCCCATAGTACTCATGATTTCTTGTGTTAGATTGTGGAAATAGCATAAATATATTTGAGAAATTCTTAATTTCAGTCATTTCTAATTTTCTCTTAAACTCTTCAGACCTCCATTCTCAATGTGGGACTATCTAAACCCATACTAGCACAGAGATGCAGTCAGTAAGTTTTCATTCCTAAGTCTAGAATATTAGGTAAAGGCAAGCATTTTAAATGTATTTTCCAAAATCAATAAATTAGTATCTTCATTTGACAGACTTTTAAAATCTTATTCTATGGCTACTTCTACAGATAGCTTATTAAAAATAGCTTTTTTGTTGGTTATACTTCATTCGTGTGTACAAAAAAATTGTTAAATAACCAAAAATGAGAGGGCTTACTTTGTATGTTTCAGAAAAAGACTTTTAAAAGTACATTTTTATTTTTGTATGTGTTAAGGAATTTTATAATGTGTCATTTATATTTTAAATGCGAAGTTGCCTCCCCCAATTTTTCTCCTCCGAACTGCATACATGTGTGTGTACACAAACACACAGATACACACATAAATATACTAAACTATTAAGCCATGCCCTAGTTTGCTAATATAAGGGAAATATAATGGGATGAATGGTGAATTGTTGTAAAGCTTTCAATTCTCCCAAAATTAATTTATTGGGTTAACAAAATTCCAAATGAAGCTATAATAAGCATTTTTGTTTCTTTTAAATTGACAGACTTATTTTATAACTTGGGATAATCAGATTGCATAATGGTTATGTTGCTGGACTCCCATGTAATCAACTGTGGTTCCAGTCCTGGACGTGGTGGCTTAAATCTCATGTGTGTGTACATGGCCAAAAGACCCAGAGGAGTCTGGAGGAAAAGGGGTTGCAGCATGGCCATCCCCCTTGGGGGGGTGACTTCTCACTTTTTGTTTCTCTGCCATGTGCACATGTACTAGAGCAAAAATCTCTCTAAAAATTATTTTTAACAATTTATCTGGAAACATAAATGAAAAGAACTATGAAATTTCGAAAATGAGGAATACCCACTTCTTGCTCTTCCTCATTTAAAACTTTGCAAAGCTTCTATAAGGAAAGCTTCATGCTATCAACACAAGATTAGAAGCATACTGAATAACACAAAAATATCCTCTTGTATTATTATATATTATTATGATCAAAGAAGAATCACAAATTAGTGACTGAGACTGTTCACTAAATAGTTCTTGAAAAATTGGTAAGATATTTCAAAGAAATTTTAAAATACCATCTCTACCATATACCAAAATAATTTTACTTATATTAAAGAGCTAAGTCTAGAAAACCCATTATCCTAAAAGGAATGCAGCTGAATATTTAGTTGGCAAATGAATGTAGAAGATTTTCTTAATAAGCATTGAAGTAATGAAGGAAAATCATGCAGAAATGGCATGCAAACTTGACTAGTAAAAGATTATTAAACATCAAAAACCGGCACAGCATCAGAAAAATATTTGCAACTAATATGATGGGAGAGCAGACATTTTAATAGTTAAAGGGCTTGTACCATTTGTCAAAACAGCAAGACAATAGTGAGAACAGTAAAGAAAAATTAGTGATAATTCATGAAATAAATATATAAAGGCCCCTAAACATGAAAAAAATATTTAGCTTAAGAATCAAAATTTAAAATCAAATTGATGACAGTTTTATATATCAAATTTGAAAAGATTTAAAGAGAATATATTCAGTGCTATCATGGATGTGATAAGACAAATGCTTTTATAAACTGCTGTTGAGAGTGGAAATTATTGTAAACTTTTTTGAAAATAAAAATGGTGTCAGTCAAGAATCTTGAACTAGTTAAGTTTCTTGATCCAATATTTCTTGTTTTATGTCTTAGAAAATCATTTTTGGGAATAGCAGCTATTGAAACTGTTAATAAATATGTTTTAAAGATATGAGAGAATATGATGTATTGTTATCTGGAGATAAAGGAAGCCACTAACAAGTATGTATAGTATGATTTCAACTATTGAAACACATACATTCACACAAATACACAACTTATTTGAAGAGCAGATAATGAAAGATCAACTGCTTATCTCAAGGTACTGGAATTTTGGGTGATTTTCATTGGAGTAGTAATTTATGAATAGGATGAGTAGTAAGTAGAGAAGTATTATTAGTAATGAACTTATTTTTTTTTAATTGTAGCATAGCATATAAAAAACCTCAAAATGTGGCTTATAGGGAAGAGGTCATTCTTAAGGGCAAGTATCCCTGGTTCAAGTGCTAAAACTTCTTTCTAGCTGTATTATTTTAGTAAGTTACTTAATCACTCAGAGTCTCCTTGTTCATATATAAAATGTTGATAATAACTGCCTCATAGTTATTATAAGATGGTAATAACATGGATATAGTGCCTGGTATGTTATAGGGCCTGGAACATAGCTACTTAGTAGGTTTATTATTTGCATTCAGCATTAGGCTTTCCACCAAGACAACCTCATGACAAGGTGATAAGCCTATCACCTTGCCCTAAACTATAACCTCAGCAAAGTTACTTCCTTAATCTAGGATTTTTTTTTTTTGAGAAATATTTTTGCTATAGGGCACATGTGTTTGCCAGAGAAGGAGTCCAGCATCATAACCATTACACCAACTATTGGTCCCTAATCTGATTTTGAAAGAGTTTTTTTTTTTTAAAAATTGCCAGTGAGTGTGTATGCTCACTGAGGAGAAACACAGAGAAAGAGGGAAACTGAGAAAGTGTCCTGAAGGAGGAATGGTCACATCACAATATCTTCTCCATTTCTCCCTCCTTTTAGGATTTGAGGCATACAGTAACATGTGCCTGGCATGTTTTTCAAGCTGCTAGGTTCAGACTCCAACTGTATTTTTTTTAAAAATTGCCAGTGAGTGTGTATGCTCACTGAGGAGAAACACAGAGAAAGAGGGAAACTGAGAAAGTGTCCTGAAGGAGGAATGGTCACATCACAATATCTTCTCCATTTCTCCCTCCTTTTAGGATTTGAGGCATACAGTAACATGTGCCTGGCATGTTTTTCAAGCTGCTAGGTTCAGACTCCAACTGTACAGCTAGTCATGTGGGATCCAGCTGCCTTAATCACCATGACACCAGCTGGACTGAAATATTTTTATTTAGGGTTTTCATGTACATTAGGTTTCAAAGAGTATTTTGATTATCTTTTCCCAGAAATTAAGTAACAGATATTTTTATTTAAAAAAAAACCCTAAAAATGTTCTTAAACTTATATCATTATAATATTCAAATTAATGCTCCTGAAGCATAGATAATGTATTATTTTTGTTTTTCTAATGATCATTTTTTAATAGTACTTGGAATATCAAAAGTTACCTTTAACTACTGATTTCTCAGCAATTTTACTAGTAGCCTGAATCTGCATTGTGGAATGCAGCAGCCATAATTCTGAATGGGCAAGTCAGTTGTAAGTTTGTATGAAATTTCATTCAAATTTTGAGCCTTCTAGAGATTTATTTAATGAAAATAACCTTTTCTAGAAAAACATTAGTTTTTGCTGATCTGAAGCCCTTCGTAAACCTTAAAAATTATATCTCATGGTTGATTAGTGAACAATTCTGTGTGTAAATGAACATTTACTCATGAATGTATATAAAACATTAACCTATAATAATATCTTCTGATTGCACACATAGGATTTTACAGTTTGCAAAGATTTTTTCCCACATAAATTAATTTTTTCAACAACATTTTTAAGTAGATAGAGCAGATACTATTATTCGTACTTTATAAATTTAGAAACTGAGACCCAGAGAGCTAAGTGACATCTAGCACATCTGATGTTAACACAACCAATTCTGATATCAAGTTCAATAATCTTCTCTTTATTGTAACAACTCTGTTCCTAGGCACAAACAATTTAGGAATCTAGTGCTATTAAGCTCATATACTTTATTAAGGCAAGAGTCTTAGAGCTGACCTTTAGATCAAAGATGAGTTTAAAATCATGTATAATGTAAAGATTACTAATTTAATGATTTACAGTGGTGTATTAAAAGCTTTGGGTTAGTAGAACTGCTAAAAGTAAAATTCCTGAGAAGTTATAGTAGACAGTGAAAGAGAGAATAGTGGAAATAACAGAATTACCGGTGCCAAAATAAAACATCCTCTGTACATCAAACACCCTGAGGACATTTCAGTATTTTGTCAGAGTACTAAAATTAAAATTGCAGTTAAAATACCAAGCCATTAAAAAGATGTAAATTCTATGCATTACAGTTTAAGAAGGTATACAATCTGTTTTTACAAAGATTTACATTAAAATTGTTAATATTGAAGGAGTCTTAAAGATGTTAGTTTCATTTATTTAGAAATCTCCTCATTCCCAATAATTATGCCAGTCAAATAACAATTGATTATACTTATTTAAAAAAAATATTTGTCTAGATTTCTCTATCTACTGGCTTTTAAAGATGTAAGTTTAAAAGGCTAATATTCAAAGAAAGATCAAATAGTAAATTATTATTTTATTCTATTTTCTATTTACAGAGGAAGATGTGAAATTCTACCTTGCAGAGCTGGCCCTTGCTTTGGATCATCTGCACCGATTAGGAATAGTATATAGAGACCTAAAGCCAGAAAAGTAAAGTTGTATTCTCTTTTATATTTTTCTTGTATGTTTTGACATACTCCTTTGACATTTAAAGATAACTTGAAAACCTCAAGTTATGAGATGTGTATTTATTTTAATCACTTAGTTTTTTTATTATATCAAATAGATACTGACCTATTTTAAGTTTTTATGTAAATATTTTATATAAAATATCTTATTCTGTCTTGCTGAATGTGAATTTTGATTTACAGCATTTTGCTTGATGAAATAGGACATATCAAGTTAACAGGTATGTAAACTTTTTTCTTATACCCTAAGCCCATTGTTTTATATATTTCATTATTATTATTATTTATTTTAATTTTTACTATAGTGCTCTCACTAGAGACAGACAGAGGGAAAGAAAAAATGACAAAGGATTCCCTGGAGAATGGCCATGCCACTATCTCTTTTCCATTCTCTTCTTGGAATTTTGAACATACATGCATGTGCACTCAGCATGTTTTTCAAGGTCTGAGACTTGAACCTCATAGTTGGCCATGTGGGATCATCTAGCACACCACTGGCTGGCCCATATTTTTTATTATTTTTATATGAATTTGTCTAATCCTATTTTCTTTTTTTCTCTTTTTTTATTTGATTTGCATCTTATTCATCTTCTTAGTGAACTAAAGTTTATTTAAAGGTTAGATAGCTCTCAATATGGTCTAATTTTAGTATTAAGATAGTATACAGGGCCAGCTTGTGGCACGGTGGCTAAGACAGCTGGATCCCATGTAACCATGAGCATGGTTCAAGTCCCAAGTCTGGTAGCTTGAAAAGCATGCTGGTTGTACGTGTGTATGTGTGCCCCAAATCTTTTTTTTTAAATTTTTTATTATCATCATAATATTCTTTATATTACATTGGATTACATATAACTTTACAGTGTATTACATTGCTTTTTCAAAAGGGAATGCCATGCATGTATGTTAGTGTGCCCAAAATCTTGAAAGAAAAAATGGATGGGCCAGCATAGTGCATATAAAAATAAATTACATAGTCTGACTTACTTGTTTAGAAAAAACATTTAATCATAATATCCCATTAAAAATTCGAACTTGAATGTAAATTGGTCCAGCCACTGTGGGGAGAACAATTTGGAGATTCCTTAAAAATCTACAAATAGAACTACCATATGATCCAGCAATCCCACTCCTTGGTATCTACCCAAAGGACAGAAGAATTCTTAATCAGAAAAGTGTGTGCACATTGATGTTTATTACGGCACTATTCACAATTACTAAGTCATGGAGACAACCCAAACGCCCCCGTGCAGATGAATGGATGGAAAAACTGTGGCACATATACTCTATGAAATACTGTTTAGCCATAAAATAAATCAACAAAACCCTGGTTTTTGATAGGAAGTGGATGAATATGGAAGAGTTACTGCTGAGTGAAGCAAGCCAGGCTATGAAGGAGAGGCATTGTATGTCCCCACTTAATATATACCAAGTGTCCGCATTCTGTGACCGAAACTGATTGACTAAAGGATATAGGAACACAGTATATAGATATAAATACCAGATACAGTGTGTGTGAAAGAGGAGGGTCTGAGGAAGGACATTTAGAAGAAAAATAGGGAGGCAAAGCATTAATGGGACAAAGAAATGTGGTATTATCTATTGAAAATATTTTATAGTTCAATTTACTAAGGAGAAATGTTCATGTTGAAATATTCATTTTGTAAGCTAAATAAGATGATTGAATGTATAAAAGAAAATTAAATACAAAATGAAAATAAATAAAAAAAATATATGTAAACAACAAAAACATTCTAACTTGAACACAGAATTTATTTGAATTGTCTATGGTTACTGTTGGGTCATTGAAAAAGTCATAACGTGTTTTCCTACATAAAAATGCATCCTGACTTTTCTGACAGCCCAATATAATGTTTTTTGAGGGACAGTTATTCAGGGGTAATTTGTATAAAGCGAGGGAAGAAAAACATGTACAGTGTGAAAAATTGAAATCACACAGTACTTAGAGCTGAGTAATTAAGAGAAAAATGTGTACATAGAAAATAATTTATAGCCATTAATGTACTTGTAACTTGATCACTGTGGTTACTTTTATAGTAAATGGTCATCAAATTATTTTGTTGTGGGTATGCTTTTAAAATTTGAAGTGTCATAAAAGAGTCATTTAAGATGACAAAGAATGTGAAATACTGCCTCCCCTCTCAAAAAAAAAAAAACATTTTCTTTATGTAGCTGATTTTTATACTTTATTTTGTTATAAAATCAGTGCCATGTAACTGTAACATGTCTTACTTAATTGTGTAGCTTTGTTTCATAAATGTAAAATTTTTGTCTGTTAATTGCTGAAAAAATTCTAGTAGTAAACAGTTTTGTCAAAAATGATACAGCAAGGGACCAGCAGTAGGTGTAATGGCTATGTCACTGGACTCCCCTGTAGTTGACCATGGTTCAAGTCCCAGACCCAGTGGCTTAAACTCTCGCCAGGCGTGTGTGTGTGCATGCCCAAGATCCCGAGAGGAGAATGGAGGAGATGGGATTGCAGTGTGGCCATCCCCCCTGGGGGATGATTTCTTGCTTTCTGTCTTTCTGGTGAGCGCAAGTGCCCTATAGCAAAAACCTCTCCAAAAAGAAAGAAAGGAAAGAAGGAAAAAGAAAAAAAACAGCAAGGGAATGCTCTAGATTGGCATAAATACCTAAAAGGTAACAGAAGGATAAGAAAATTTTCTTCCCTTTTCTCTGGAATAGCAAAAGAAACCAGTGTTTTTCTCTACAAAATATGTTGTATTCAGGTCAACTGACCTCAAAGACTAGATTCTTACATATTACATTTAATTTTCTAAATGGAATGTGCAATTTTAAAAGTCTCAATATAGAGAAAGCAAAACACTGAAAACATTTTTAAAAATTATTCTGAAAATTATAATGCATTAAGTTATAAAAAGATAATCTTTTTTTAAAAAATGGACATACTGAGCATGATTAGAAAATTAGTTTTGAGGGGCCTTAAAATTAAGTGTAAATGTTGGTGCTTTATTGTAAAAGAGTACAATGCAGGACTTAAAGCTTTTATTGTTTGTTGGTTGGTTTTTAAAATTAAGGTATAACTTAATATTCAGTAAAACTTGTCCTTCTGATCCTTGTGCCCTTGCGCTGATGGGACTATTTTGTATCTTTACTGCACCCATGTCAGTATCCTGGCTATTTTATTATTATACTATAGTTCTACAAGATGGTACCATGGGGAAAAGTGGGTAAAGATAATGAGCTTTCTGTACTATTTAATATAACTGCATGTGAATCTGTAATTATCTCAAAATATAAAGTTTAATTTTTAAAAAATCACTTTTCATTTGTAGTTCTGCAAGTTTCGATAAATGTACACAGTCTTGTAACTATCACTACAATAAAAATACAGAACAGTTCCCAACCTCCATTATAAGTCTATTCTTCCTTTACCCTCAGCCAACCACCAACCTATTTTCTCTCCCTACAGTTTTGCAGAGGCATACAGTATAGAGCCTTTTAAGTTTGGCTTCATTTGCTTACCATTGTGCATTTGAGATTTATGCATATTGTTGTGTGTGTCAGTGATTCATTTTTTAAGTTGGTTTATTCATGTGGGAGAGTGCATGTGTGTACATACAAGAAAATGAGAGAGACAGACAGACAGGCACCATTAACAGAGTCTCTGTCGTGCTACAATCCCATTCCTCTCACTCGTAAAGCATGTTTTCAGGTCGACTTAGGATCCCAGCCTTCAGTTGGCTAGTAGCTTCTAGCATTATAGTTTCAGGTTTATAGTGGTGCTTTCTGCACCACCAAGGCTAGGGCCATGTTTAAAAATTGTTGACCAGTGTTCCATTTTACAGTGGTGCCAGGATTTGTTTATTCATTCCCCAACTAGGGGACATTTTGGTTGATTCTTGTTTATTGAAGTGATGAATAAAACAAAACCACTGTGAACATTCATGAACATTCACATTTTATGTAAACCTTATTTTATTTCTCTTGAATCATTTGCTAAATATATTTAACTTAATGAGAAACCTTCAAACTCAAAGTGATTGTCCCATTTTACATCTCTACCAGCAATGTATGAGAGCTTCAGTTGCTCTGCAACCTCATCAGTACTTGATATTGTCAGTGTTTTTTTTATTTTAGTTATTTTAATAGGCACAAAGTGGTATCTTATTATAGTTTCAATTTATATTTCTCTAATAGCTAATGACACTAAGCATCTTTTTATATATTTTTTCAAAGTGTCTGTTTAGATATTTGCTCACTATAAAAGATTGAATTGTTTGTATTTTTATTATTGAATTTAGAGTTTTTTCTTTTTTTTTTTTTTTCTTGGAGACTTTTTTTGCTATAGAGCATGTGTGCTCGCCAGACAGACAGACAGAGACAGAAAGCGAGAAATCACCCCCCGGGAGGATGGCCACGCTGCAATCCCTTCTCTTCCATTCATTCTCCTCTTGGGATCTTGGGCACGTATGCACACGCACCCAGTGTGAGTTTAAGCCACCAGGTCCAGGACTCAAACCGCGGTCGACTACGTGGGAGTCCAGCGACATAGCCATTACGCTAACTGCTGGTCCCTGAATTTAGAGTTTTTAATATCTTCTGACTACATGTCTTTTCTAAGATACACAATTTGCAAATATTTTCTCCCAGTCTGTAGCTATTTTTTCATTTTCTTTATGTTTATTTTTTCTTTCCATGAGTGGGAAAGAAAGAGGAAGAAAGAGAGACAGACACAAACAGTATCTCCAACAGGATCTTACAGTCTATCCCTAGCTTCACCCAGCCCCAGATCACGGACACAGATGTGCCTAACATACGCAGGGAGGTCTCTGGACACAAACCTGGACTTTTCCCATGTGGGCCAACCCTGCATATTGTCATGTTTTATTGCTGTGTCACCGTCTGGCCCTCCTTTTTCATTTTCTTAACAGTATCTTTTGAAGAACAGTTTGATCTTTTGATAAAGATAAATTTAGTGAATTTTTATAATGGATTATACTTTAAATGTTATATATAGGAAATCCTTGCTTAACTCAGGATCACAAAGATTTTCTCCTTTGTTTTTGAAAAATTTTCCATTTTGTGTTTTACATACAGGTCTATAATCCATTTTGATTTAATGTTTTCTGTGTTATGTTGGTGGATTTTCCTATATTGATATCATACTTCTTCTGGCATCATTAATTGAAAAGACTGCCATTTTTCATGGAATTGCTTTTGCATGTTTGCCAGAATCAACCAATAGCATAAATCCAGTTTTATTACTATGTAACATATGTGATCTTAATCACTCCACTGTGCAAAATTGCATAGTAAAACTACAGATTGGGACCAGCTATTGACATACTGTCTACGCCACTGGACTCCCATATAGTCAACTGCAGTTCGAGTCCTGGACCCAGTGGCTTAAACTCACACTGGGCGCATGTGCATGGGTTCCCAAGATCCCAAGAGGAGAATGGAGGAGAAGGGATTGCGGCGTGGCCATCCCCCCTGGGGGGGGTGTCTTCTTACTTTCTGTCTCTCTCTCTCTGGTTTTCTGGCGAGCACATGTGCCCTATAGCAAAACCTCTCCAAAAAAAAAATAGAAGAAGAATGTGACACCTAAAAATTGTTGCATAATATTCTAGTATAGAAAACATGTACAAGTGCACTTCAAAAAGTTTGTGGAAAAATGAAATTAAAGTATGAGTTTATTTTGGTGCAAAAAATTTTGAAATCTGGAGGCAACAGGTGGTGTAATAATTAGGGTTCTGGACTCCCACATGGCCAACCGTGGTTCAAGTTCCAGACCAGCAGCTTGAAACTCATGCTGAGCATGCATATGTGTGTGCTCATAAATCCCAGGAGGAGGATGGAGGAGAAGGAATTGTGGTGTGGCCATCTCCCTAGGGGTGATTTCTCATTTTCTCTCTGTCTCTCCGGTGTGCTCAAGCACCTTATAGCAAAAATATCTCTCAAAACAAAATGAAAAACAAAAAAGAACTTGGAAATCTATGCATAATGTTCTCATGATTTGCATTTTTAATGAACTCTTTGAAGTCCCCTAGTATTCTGAGGATGAGATTTAACTGAGCAAACATTAAAAGATCTTTAAGAGTATCACGGAATGGGCTGCTTTTCATTATCAGTCTCACAGAAGGTGATATAGTAGATATGGTGCTGGACTTCCACATGGCTGAATGCAGTTTGAGTCCTAGACCTGGCAGTTTGGGAATCATGCCAGGCCCATGCTCATTTGTGCCCAAAATCCCAAGAGGAGAATGGAGGAAAAGGGATTGCCTTCTCTCCCAGGCGATGATTTCTCACTTTCCCTCTCCCTATCTCTGTCTGTCTCTTTCTGGCAAACACACCCACCCAATGGCAAAAGCCATAAAAAAAAAGAAAAAGAAAAAAGAAAATTGTAGGCCAGACATAGTTTTAATTTTTAATACATTAGTTCTCTTGGCGTTTTCTATTTTCTGAAGGTTTTGAAATGCATTTTTTTTGTGCCACTATTACTGCAGATTTTGGACTCAGCAAGGAGTCAGTAGATCAAGAAAAGAAAGCCTACTCATTTTGTGGTACAGTTGAGTATATGGCTCCTGAAGTCGTAAATAGAAGAGGCAATTCTCAGAGTGCTGATTGGTGGTCATATGGTGTACTTATGGTAAGTAGTGTTATTTTTCTTAATTATGCCAACATCTGATAAATATTTCAAATTTTAATTTAAATTTTGAGATATGTCAGTTAAACAGGGGGTTCTGATAACTTACAACGGACATTAAAAAACTTGTGATTGACTAGCTGTTTTACTATAAGTATTAGGGTTTCGGAATTCTGGTTTCTTTTACAGTTATTGGTGAAATGTAAATAGCAGCATTGTTATGTAAAATATTCACAGTTAAGACTTAAAGATCTGTTACATCCTAGGTTTCAGAATGCTGGATTTAGCAGTTATATGGTATTTTAATTAGATGTCACAGAATATACTATTTTACCATTTACTGGTTTACTGTCAAATTGCTTTTAAGTATGCCCCAGTAAGAGTGTAAACTCTTGAGGAGAGGAATCATGCCTTATATTATTTTTCATCTGTCATAGTACCTAACACTGTGGGTATTTAGTAGATGCTTACAATAAATAAGGAATGACTAATTTGATATGAGAGCAGCATAAAAATGTAAGGTAGTAAGTCAGGTTATAGATGAATAGCTATTGAATTAGATATAATTTGCCTTTAAGGTCTGATAATCTATTTTTCCTTTTTATTATTGAGTTACATAGTGTATGACACATCAGCATATTAAGTAACTATTATAAGCCTGGTATTTGGGGAGGGCAGTGGAGTTCAAACTGATTGAATGTATCATTGACATTTTCCATGACCCAAGAAGGTATACACTCTGGTTGGCAAAACAATTGTAATAGCTACTAAGTACACTGCTCAGAAGTACCATATGAGTTCAAGGAAAGCCTCATATAAGTCGATGTAGGAAAAGTACAGGACATGGCACTTCTTAATTAAATTAATCTTGAAGGCTAAATAAAATTTAAATATTTATATATTTATATGTCAAGAAGGAGAATCTTGCAATCATATTTGCAAATGCTTGGAAAAAACAATTTGACAAGAATAGTAGAGGATGAGGCTGAAGAAAAGCTATAAACCTCTTCTTTGAGAAGTAGGAAATGCTCATAGATTCTTAAACAGTATGACAATTAGATAAAAATTATATTTTAGGAAAAAAATACATTTTAGGAAGATTAGTCTTAGAAGCATTATAAAAATGGATTGGAAGTGGGAGAAACTAGAAGTAGGGAGACATGACTGTTGTAAGA